TGGATGGAACTAGAGGGTATCATGCTTAGCGAAATAAGTCAATCGGAGAAAGACAACTATCATATGATCTCCCTGATATGAGGGAGAGGAGATGCAACACGGTGGGTTAAGCGGGTAGGAGAAGAGTAAATGAAACAAGATGGGATTGGGAGGGAGACAAACCATAAGTGACTCTTAATCTCACAAAACAAACTGAGGGTTGATGGGGGGAGGGGGGTTGGGGGGGTGGGATTATGGACATTGGGGAGGGTATGTGCTATGGTGAGTGCTGTGAAGTGTGTAAACCTGGCGATTCACAGACCTGTACCCCTGGGGATAAAAATATATGTTTATAAAAAATAAAATTAAAAAAAAATTGTTTCCTTGGGCAGTGCTCCTTCATTAGGCAAAACACATCCCCCATGGACTTTATTCTTCAAACTCCCATTCATTTCACTTCCTACTCTATCTCTGGTAACTTACGGTATGACTTTTGAAATTTTCTTCATCCATGATATAACGTGGGTGGACTAGGTGGCCTCTTTAAAATTTATGAGAATAATCTTCTATTTGACATATATTGTACTATGTGCTACACCCTAAGAGAGAGGCAGAGATGAACAAAATATGTCCCTTGCATTCAAAGAATTTTCAAATGAGAAGTAAACACATAAAGAACTATAATATAATGCAACAGTATCAAGCATCATTAACAGAAATAATGTCTCTCAGGAGGTCTGAGGACAGGTCACTTGAAACTGGAGTGGCCAAATGAGACTTTTTGGAGGTGACAGCACTTTACCTGGGCTTTCAAAAATGGAAAATATTGGGCACCTGAGTGGCTCAGTTGGTTGAGTGACTGCCTTTGGCTCAGGTCATGATCCTGGAGTCCCTGGATCAAGTCCCACATTGGGCTCCCTGCTCGGCAAGGAGTCTGCTTCTGCTGCTGACCTCTCTCTCTCTTTCTCTCTGTCAGATAAATAAATAAATAAAATCTTAAAAAAAAAAAAAAAAAGAAGGACCGGCATGAACGAAGTTAGGAAAATGCCAAGTCATGCTCAAGGGAAAGTAAAGGGGGCCACATGGTAGCTGAAGCAGATGAAATATTTGTACAGGAGTGGAGGGAAAAGATGAGGCTGGAAAGGTACATGGAAATATAATGTAAGGGCCCAAATGCCAGAAAAAGAAGTCATGATTTCACCCTGTGGACAATGGGAAACCATGGATAAGACTTGGGACAAATGACCTAAGAAGTTAACTGTGGTTGCTGTGTGGGAAGAATGTGCTGGACAAGGAAGCTTAAAGGCAGTGAGTCAGACTAATGCAAGAGATCTAGCAAGAGGGAGAAAATGAGGGCCTGAATTAGAGGGAGAAAATGAGGGCCTGAATTAAAGAGGACAGAAAAGAGATATTTCATAGGCAAAACCAGATAATGTTAACTAATGGACTTAATGAAGCATAACATGTATAAAAAAGGGAGGATATAGCCAAGAAAGCCCCTGAAATTAGCCAGCGTTGATCCAGGGATTTTTTTTACCTTTTCAAGGAGACGGATCACTTTTACATTTCTGGATCACAAACATTTGTAAACTGTTTTAAATGATCAAACGCTCAAATGCAAAGTGCTTTTTTTTTTATTTAAAGATTTTATTTATTTATTTGACAGAGATCACAAGTAAGCAGAGAGGCAGGCAGAGAGAGAGGAGGAAGCAGGATCCCTGCTGAGCAGAGAGCCTGATGCGGGGCTTGATCCCAGAACACTGGGATCATGACCTGAGCGGAAGGCAGAGACTTTAACCCACTGAGCCACCCAGGCACCCCTGCAAAGTGCTTTTTTTTTTTTTTAATTTTATTTTTTATAAACATTTTATTTATTTACTTGACAGAGAGAGATCACAAGTAGACGGAGAGGCAGGCAGAGAGAGAGAGAGGGAAGCAGGCTCCCTGCTGAGCAGAAAGCCCGATGCGGGACTCGATCCCAGGGACCTGAGATGATGACCTGAGCCGAAGGCAGCGGCTTAACCCACTGAGCCACCCAGGCGCCCTGTAAAGTGCTTTTTAATCGAACCGTACAGATGTGCATAAAATGAAAAAAGTTGCCATCCTAGGTCCCACTTCTGTATTAATAGGTTCTGCTGTACCTTTCAGATATTCTCAATGTTACAATAGTCTGTGTAGTGGGGGCGAGGGGCAGCGATTGAAATCCTTAGAAACATTACACATAATGAGACCATACTCCTATAATAATCCTTTTTCATTCAACAACATGTATTAGAGATTTTTCCATGTCCACATATATAGCTCTACCTCAGTTTTTCTACTAGCTGCACAGGGTTACACAGCAATGTATCCTAATTTATTTCCAACCCCTTTTAATGGATATTTAGGCTGTTTCTAGTTTTTTGCTGTCACCTTCTGTCATGCATCTCTCTTTCTCTCTCTCCAGGACATTTCGAGTGCGAGCATACCTGCCTGTTCCATGCCTACGGATCAAAAGATACGTGAATTGAAAATGTGGGTGGGCCTTGCCAAATTGCCAGGACAGGACCCTTTCTTAAGAGGACAAGAGTCTCGAACCCGCACACTCGATTGCGGAGCCTCCTCCTACGTGGGCAACCTCGCTTTCCCTCTCGATTCCCGTTTCAAGGATGAAGGCAGCGAGGCCGGGCGGCGGCCAGGGGCACACAACTCAAGGGGCTGGACCTGCGCGCCGGGTCTGACCTCCCGACCCGGGGTCCCCTCCGTTAAAGTGTCACCGATTTCCTTACGCTCCCTGCGACCGGGGAGAGCCCCTCCCCTCGTCCCAGCCACCCCCGTCTCCGTGCTTGGGGTCGTCTCACCGATGGTTCTCGTTGAGCAGGGAGAAAAGCGGGCCGAGGCGCAGTTCCGCTGCCTGCTCGCGGAGCTCGCTGAGCGGCACGGTCTGCAGTACCGAGTGAAGCGCGCGCAGCTCCTCCAGCGGCGCTTCCAGCCGCGACACCTCCCTCAGCAGCGCCAGCGCCTGAGCAGCCATCGCACCCCTCCCGCCGGGGCTCGCGGGTCCGCCGGCTTCCGGCTCGCGGCTCGCGGCTCCCACGTCCCGGCGCGCCGCTCCCTAGCCTCGCGAGATCTGCGGGGCGCAGCCTTCCTTCCCGGGGTTTCTGACGGGACTTCGAGCTGCCCTGGCCTCACCAATAGCGATGTGGGGCTGGCGGGCAGCGCGCGCGCTCGGGGGCCGCCAAGCCTCGCGAGACGGGGGCCGTCAGGGGCTGGGCCAACTGTCGCAAGTGGTTGCGGGGTCGTGGCCGGGCGTCATCGTGGGCGCGGTTCGGTGGGTCGCGGAGGCCGACTTTCCGGTCGGCTTGCGTATTTCCCTTAGAGAGCGAAGGCGCGTCAGATGCCCGGCAAGCGGAGTGGTGACAATGAGGACCCACAGAAGGTTAAACGGCCTCGCGGGCGGCCTCCCGGCCCCAAAGCCGGGCTGTCGGCTGCGGCGAGGGCGGCGGTGGTGGAGGCCGCCGCGGCTTGGGCAGCGGCCGAGGCCACCCCAGGCGGCGCGGAGGCCATGGGCATCCTGCTCCCGGGCCCGACCAGAATCAAGAGGAGGCGGAGGGTCATGCCTCTGGAAGACAAGATGAAAATTCTCGAGAAGCTGGAAGAAGGCGTGAGTAACACCGACGTGGGGCGCCTATTTGGCGTCAACGAGTCAACCGTACGCACCATTAAGAAAAACGAGAAGGCCATCAGGGCCAGCATGGAGAGTGTTTCGCCCGTCTGCTCCAAGGTGCTATGCATTCCCCGGGACGTCAACATCGAGAAGATGGAAACCGAGTTAACCTTTTGGGTGGAGGACCAGACCATAGGGGGGCGGCCTCTGACGCTGAAGGCCATCTGCAGCCAGGCCAAACGCATTTACAAGCAGCTGGTGGAAACCACTGGCAACGGCAACCCGGATAAGTTTCATGCGAGCAAGGGATGGTTTGAGAAGTTTAGAAATCGCTACAGTCTGCGAAATTCGAGGTTGATGGGAGAGGAAGAACCGTTAAATGCCCAGTCAGCGCCCAAGTATTCCAAACAACTCCAGAGACTGATCAGGGCCAGGGGCTATGTGCCTCAACAGGTCTTCAACGCCGAGGAGATGAGCCTGTTTTGGAAGTGCATGCCCTCACGTACTTTTAGGGAAAAAGACAAAAATCCCGAAAGCTTAGAGGAAGCCAAGGACAGGATTTCCCTCATTTTTTGTGCCAACGCTGCCGGTGACAAAATGATAAAACCCTTGCTGCTTTATAAAGACCCTAATCCCACTTGTCTTTTGGAAAAAGATAAAAACCGCCTTCCTGTGTTCTGGCGATCACACCCCAAAGTATCACTAACCACTGCCCTCTTCTTGGATTGGTTTCATAATTGTTTTATCCATCAGGCCCGGACTTACTTAATAGAAAAAAATCTTGAGTTCAGAGTGTTGCTGATTCTGGACAGAGGTCCCAATCACCCAGACTCATTATTCTTTGCTCATCCTAACGTTGATATTGTGTTCCTCCCTCTGGAAGGCACTAGCTATCTTCAGCCCTTGGATCAGGGTATAATTGAAGCATTCAGGAGGTATTACACCAAGCATATGTTTGACCACTTTGCTGACTGTATTGAAAAGAACCCTTGTCTTACTTTAAAAGAAACATGGCAACAGTACAGCATTGCCGATGCGTTGGTAGTGATAAAAGAGGCAATGGATGATATAAAACCGGCTGCTCTTAATAAAGCCTGGTGGAAACTTTGGGATGATGTTGTGAATGATTTTGCATGTTTCCCTAGAGCTAACGAAGAAGTTGCGAAAATCATAGAGTCTGCAAAACGGATGGACTTTAAATTCTTTGACATTGAAGAGAGTGAAATTAACGAACTGCTCAAGTTTCAAGCTTTGGCCATTACTGAGAGAGAGTCTGTATCAGTAAATACGGAAGAAGACAAGTCCCCAGAACCAGAGGTTAAGATGAATCTAAGGAAACTGAATGCTGTCTTACGTCAGGCTTCAGACCTCATTGATGCTGCAATTGATATGGATCCATTCCTCGACCGAAGTTTGGCCTTTAAAAAAGACTTCAATAAATTGTTATATACCTATAAAGAGGTGCAAAAGAACCTTCAGAATAAAGCAAAGGAGTTGAAGGAAGAAAAAGACACGAACAAAGAGGTAGTGTGGATGAAGACGATGGATACAGAATCGGAGTCTGAAGGGGAGTCTGAATCTGAATCCGAGTCGAAATCTGAATCCGAGTCAAAATCCGAATCTGAATCCCATAAAGAGGAGAAGGTAGAGAGAAAGAAAGAGGATAAGAAGGCTCCAGAAGAAGATCCTGGATCCTCAGGCAATGGCACTGAGACTCTCACTATATCTGAAGAATCTGCCAAAGCCATAAATGCAGAATTGGACTTTTGGAATCTAACCTTGGAACTGAACCTGGAGAGAGTAGACGTGCCTGAACTAAAGGAAGAAGAGAATCCAGAGGCATTTCTTTCCAAATGACAGTTCATCTCTTGCTATTCTTCCCCTGTTGCCCCAACATCTACCTTCATCATGACCATCCTTATCATCACCAGCCACACATCCATATCATTTAGTCATTCAACAAACAGTTATTGAGTATAAGCTCTGTGGGGTCCTGTGCTAAACTTGGGGACATCATCTCAGGAAATCATCTCAGGATCTAAGGTAAATGGTCATTAACAGTGGCTACATTTCTTGTTAATGTAATAGGTATAAAAGATCACAGTCTTGACTTATTTTACTGGACTTTGAATATAAAGTTTTTCTTAGGGCCACAGCTTCATTTTCTCTAACCCAGTTTCCCACAGATACTAAGTTCTTCAATCACTAACGGAGATTTTCTGAGTTAACCATGGTAGTCAGTATGAGATTACTTGCTTTTTTGCTTGTTTAAAAGTTTCGGTTTTAAGTAATCTCTGCACCCAACATGGGGCTCAGACTCACAACCCTGAGATCAAGAGTCAGTCATATGCTCTGTCTGCCACTGAGCCAGCCAGGAGTCCTGAGACTACTTACTTTTGAAAAGCTGACATGGGCTTACGTGTTCTACAACATTCTTACATGAGTTTTCTTTGTTATTCCTCACTGTAGATCTGTGAATGTGGTATTAGTCCTTCCTTTACTGCCCACCCCCCCACCAGCTCAGAGTGTTAATGTAATTGTCCTGAGTCTTCACAGCTAACCATGTAAGTGATAAGATCAGGGCTGCAACTGGTTTATTAACGACTTTGTCAGACACTGGTGAGAAGTGTGGGCCTTTAAGAAGTTGGATTCCCAAGGAATGAAACAGACAGTAAACAGATAATGAAAATAAACACAAAGGCTGAGAACCAGCAGCCTGCTAGCCAGATTTGGCTAACAGATGTGTTTTGTTTGGTCTACCCAGCACACAGCAATTTTGAATTCGTTTCCAGCATTTCCACAGCTCCTTAAGATACAGTTCACATATGATACAGAATCCACCAATGTAAGTGTATAGTGTGTAGAATCTTTTTAACATTTGTGTAACCACTTCCACAATCAAGATATAGAACAGTTTCCTTAACTTAAAAAAGTTTACTTGTGGCCTTGTGTACTCAGTCCCTTCCCCTGCCCCAGAGATATCATTTAGATATTAAGATATTTCACATTAAAAAGCTGTATTAAAAAATTGCACATCCTGGCGTCAGTGGACTCTGCGTTCGTGAAGGGAGCAGTCAATCAGTCATTAGCTTGCTGCTTTTCTTACCTGTTTGCAACTCCGCATAGCATCATTGATGATGTCGAACAAAAGTGTATACAAAGTGCCTTAGGGGAAATAGAGGACTGTGGGATTAACCCTGCAAAAATCTGCATGAAGCAGCTGGCCTAGAAAGATAAATGAGTTCAGAGGAAGAGCAGGTGGGAACAAGAGTATTTTAAGCCAAGGAGGATTAGATGGGAGATACTGTGAGGAGGAGGTGCTGTGGGGGATAGGAAGGCAGCTGTGGGTGTGGGTATGGGTGTGCGTGTGGGTGTGCGCACCCGTTATGTCTGTGTGCTTCACTTGTTTTTGTTGGCAGGGTGGACCCTATAAAGTGGAAGAGTTTTGTGTATGTGTATTAGTGTTTGTGTGCCATGGTTTCTGGAAGTTTCATATAGTTAAGAAATTTAGTTCTCTATATGTATACATGTGGGGATTGTAATCATTTTGTTGTTGTTGTTAGACTGGGATGGGTAAATTAGTTTCTTCATTTTGCAGGCATTGTAGGTCAGCATATGGTGTCCGGGTTTTTTGTTTCTAGGAAGAGAATTTCCTAGTGAGAATTACTCCCTCTTTCCCTGCCCCCTCCCCTCTTTCCTCCCAGCCAGCCTGCTGGGGCCTGGCTGGGCAGTGGGGCAGGCAGCGGGTGGTGAGGGGATAGGGCGGTGGAGGCCCTCAGTGCCCGCCCATCAGCTTGCAACTCAGCCCGAGGCTTCGGCTGTGCTACTAAATTACCAGCGACGCCATGGACAGGCTGGGCTCCCGGAGCCCTCTGCCAGGCTACCTGCGGCCCTCTGTCCTCATATGCCTCCTGGTGAGTGCCCCATGCCCTGTGAACTCTCACCCCTAACCCTCCAACCTGGGGGTTGAGGGGAGAAGGTGCATTTCTTTTTTCTGCTCCTGGGATTTTGAGCTGGGAGCAGGCAGGTAGGAGGTGGAAGGGGAAATCCTCCAGGAAAATGTTAAGGTTGGAAGTGGCCACAGAGTGCCACCAGTGGTGTGGTGGTGGTGGTGGTTGAGTGGGAGGTGGGAAGAACTGTAGGAGAGCGTCACAAGTCTTGCTGCTCATTTTTTGGGTGATTTCTTCTCTCTGGCCCTTACATTCCTCATCTGAAAAATTGGCACAAATCAGTAGCTCTTAACCTTTTTGGAACTGTAGGTTTTCTTGATTTGTGTGTGTGTGTGTGTGTGTGTGTGTGTGTGTGTGTGTGTGTAGTATATGAAAATTCTGGATCTGTACAAGGAAAATGTATAGGTAAACACAATGTAGCACTCAATGCCAGAGTATCACAGATTCCTTAAAATTAGGTCAATGATAAGGTTAGAACCACTGGGTGGTTTCTGAGGTCTCTTTTGCCTTAACAGAGGTTGTAAAGTCAGTTAACCTCCCAAAGTTATGTAAATATTCCAGGACAAAAAAAAAAGGCAGAATGAAATAGGAACCAAAAGGATACATAAAATATTTTAAAAGAATGTAAATTAGAAAAAGTGTTTAGTAAAAGGTAAGTATGAAAGTGTTATAAAGACTTCAAAAATTCTAGTGACTCTTCTTCCGTTATAATGTTTCTGTTGGGGAATATTGTGATGTGCGTATTTTCCGTCAAGTTTGTGTTCATGTGTCACAGAATATGTTACAGAATATATTGTAGTCCACCTTTGGTTCCGAACTGGCCTCTCAGGCTTCCGATACACTGTTGCTAGGTCTACAAACATTTCTCAAATCTCCCTATCAAGGGTGGTCAAGTCCTATGCATGTGAAAATGAATGAGACTGAAGAGCTCATGTGCAGTGGGGGACACATGTGTAAGCCGCTGTCTGTACTTCACTGGGATCAATGGAACAGCAGAAGGATGTGAGCAGCAATCCTGGCCTCTACTTACTAGATGCCAAGAGCATCTCCTCCCTAGTCTTGACAGTCAGAATTGTCTCCAGACATTGTCAGATGTCCCCTGGGGGAGCAAAATTGCTCCGAGTTGAGAACCACTGGAGTATGTGAAGCTGAAATGACCCCACTAAACCCATTCCTAGACATGCTCACAGCACTTCAAAAAACCCACAGTGGGATGCAGGAGTCTTGGTTCTGTCCCAGAGTTTCTGTATGTTCTGTTTCAGTTACCTTGTTTGTGAAATGAAGGGTTATCTTAGATACCTGGGGGCCCATTTACCTCTTAGCATTTTGACTATGAGTTCATATGAGAATTTCAATACATTTTAGGTGAGTTAATAGTTAATCCTGTAAGCTCAGTTTTCCACTGATGCCTACTGGCCGAAATGTTCCAGATCTTCCTTAGGAATGACTTTTTTGTTGGGGGACAGGCCACTACCCTTTTTGTCCAGAGTCTTTGCTGGAAGCTACTTTAGAGTCATTGGAGCATTACAGTGTTCCAGTATGTTTGGTTCTCTGCTCAAAGCCAACAGTGGGTGACTCAAAAGCCCTATCTACTTCACTATTTAGTCTTTTTTTTTTTTTAAGATTTTATTTATTTATTTGGCAGAGAAAGAGAGCACATAGGTAGGCAGAGCGTCAGGCAGAGGGAGAAGGAGAAGCAGGCACTTGGCTCCCTGCTGAGCAGAGAGCTCCATGTGGGACTCCATCTCAGGACCCTGGGATCATGACCTGAGCTAAAGGCAGACACCTAACCTATTGAGCCGCTCAGGTGTCCCCACTATTTAGTCTGTATAGCCACATCTTGCTGGTGTATTATCAATTCACTAGTTTACAAGTATTTATCGTGAACCTTTTTTGTGCCATGAACTGTGCGGGGAGTGCAGTGATGAGCAAAGCACGGGGCTTTTCTTTATTGGATCAGTGATTACAAAGTCTTTTTCCTGTCTGGTTTGAACCCATGACAACTCTGAGGTAGGCAGCAGAAGTGTCAGAATGTACATTCTCTAAATAACAATTATAGAAGGGAGAGGAGGTAACTTTTCAAAGGCCACAGGCAGTTAGCAGTACTGGCACTAGGATTTAAATCCTGCTCTCTAGTGCTTTTATTTTTTTTTCTTATAGTCTAACTGAGTTGTCATTTAAAAACACGCATACAATAAAAGCTTCATTGAAAAGCCTGGTTCTTTTGTTCTTGTGTGGTCACTGCTTTAGTTCAAAGGACTGGTATTTTGATTTGCAGGTGGTGGAGGTAGTAGGAGGGAATGAGAAACCCAACCCAGACAGGCCTCTAGTCAAACTGAAGCTCCACACATAAAAACGCTGTTCTCAGGCCCTGCCAAGAAGTAGGAGCCAGGCCCCAGGCAATAATGTGGATGGAGTGGGAGGACAGAGGCTTATTTGAGTGAGGCCTGAGCCCTGGGCTGGGAGGCAGGAGAAGCGCACTTCTGTTCAGCCTTGCCTGGGTCACCGTGGGCCTCCTTGCAAGTTGCCTCTATCCTGTTAGTGGCTCCATGATCCTCCCCTAAGCAGAGAGCCCTGGAACAGAAGCCATTCTCCAGTTGTTTCTAGTTCCTCTTGTTTTAAATGTTTATCATTAAAATAGTAAGAACAATTGTATCTTGAGTGTCTTCTGTTCTCATATTTTCACTGCCATCTTCTTTGCTCAAGATCTTGAGGTCTGTTTCCTGGATCACTGTAGTGGCCTTATAAGTACACTGCCTTCTGGTCACTCCTCTCTCTAACGTTACTCTATCCAGCTTGACCACGTTTATTACTCTCCTACCTAAAAAAACCTCCAAAAGCACCCTATTCCATGAGTACAAACCCTAAACACCTCTGTCAGACCCTTTTCTTTATAAGGCCAGCCAGTCTTACTTCCCTGTGATACCATACCTGCAGACTGGATATCTCATCTATCCCTAAATACCTCTTGAGTCTATACATATTATCATTTACTAGGAGTACCTCCCTCTCCACTTGACAACCTACTTACGATTTCAGATCCAACTTAGATGGTACCTTCTCTTTGAATCTTCTTCTCCCTCAGGTATAGCCTTCCTCTAGGTCCCACCACCTCTCAGTTACAGCAGCACAGGTCACATTACTTTGAATTAGGCTACCTTTTCCACTGGACTCCCCACAGTGCCTACCCAGGCACAAATGACTGGAGGTGAAATTGACTCTACAAAATCAGATCATTCATAAATAATCCCTGTAGGATAATAGCAGTTCAGTGGATTCTGGTTGGCATTACCTCCGGTTGCAGTTTTATACAATAAGAATGGATTTCTGCTCACCTAGATGATAATTCCTAATCACGGCTTCACCAATTACAAACTATGTGATCTTGATTTCTGAGCCTCCATTTTCTTATCACCTGCAAAATGCAGAGGAAAATATTTAGGCACAGAAACTTTGTTTAAGCGCTAAAGCTTGATATTGATACCAGGAATTATTTTGTGAATGGGGGATAGGGATGAAAAAATGATCCTTAGCCTTGGTTCCAGTTTGCTTGAGCTGGCAGATCATGTCTTGGCCATGTCACTGCTGACCTGTGCTTTTCTTTTCCTACTGTGTAGATCCTGACAGCTGCTTTCCTGTCATACCCCATGCTCAGGACCTTTAGCCTGCAGCTCCGTTCAGCTGTCACTGGCAGCTATGTCTCCGGCACTTACTCCATCGTCTTTGTCAACTGTCCCAATGAGCAAATTGCTAGAGATATTGCCAGGTATGGTGCAGGGGCTCAGGTGCTGCCCCAGGAGGCTGGGGAGCTCTCAGGATGCTCTACTGTGTCCACTACACACCTCTTCGCTTGGGGTCATAAGAAGAGCATGGCTGGGGGTGTCTGGGTGGCTCAGTTGGTTAAGCGTCTGCCTTTGGCTCAGGTCATGATCCCACGGTCCTGGGGTCGAGCCCTGCATGGGGCTCCCTGGTCTGTGGGAAGCCTGCTTCTCCCTTTCCCACTCCCCCTGCTTGTGTTCCCTCTCTCGCTGTGTCTCTCTCTGTTAAATAAATAAATCCAACCTTAAAAAAAAAAAAAAGCACTGCTGAATGATCCCCCATCAGATCCTGCTGCTGGGCTGGAAAATGTTGAGTGTGCATGAGAGCATTTAAGAGATACGAGGCCCAGAGAGCTAAGCGGCTTGCCCAAGGTATTAAGGTCAGAGGACAGGGTAGCTCTGCAGGCTGAGAATTTCAGTCCTTGAATTCTTGACCCAGCTCTTTCTCTTCTCCGCGATACTCTCTTAGCTTGCTCCCGGAGGCGCTCACCATGCAAGTGAAGCGGAGGAGGCTGTTCCATGTATTTGGCAAATTTCTTTCATTTCTTTATTTTTGTTTTTCTAAAGATTTGTTTATTTATTTTAGAGAGAGAAAGAGAGTATGTGAGCAGAGGGAGGCAGAGGGAGAGTGAAAGAACCCCAGGCAGACTCCCCACTGAGCGTGGAGCCCAGTGGTAGGGCTTGATCCCACATCCCCAAGATCATGACCTGAGCTGAAATCAAGAGTTGCATGATCAACCGGCCGAGCCACTCAGGCGCCCCAGTATTTGGCGAATTTCTCAAAGCAGCTGCGGTGTGGTGCAAAGAGCACTGGCCTTACAACGAGACCAGGGTTTGAGTTTTGGCTGTGCCACTTCCGTAACTGTGCGACCTCAGGCCACACTTTCTTTCTCAAAGTGTTAGTTTTCTGAGCTACAATATAGGATAATGCCACTTAGCTCACAGGAGCAATATAAGGGTGAAATGATACAATTCTTACCCCAGTAGATTGGACATAGCAGATGCTCACTAAGTGTTTGTTGTATCTGAATGTCCCCCCTCACTCGTTTTTATAGATGTGACTTTGAAGAGGGTTAGTGGGTCTGGAGGGTGATGGACTTGGCTTCCTCTTCAACTCAGCCATCTTGAAATTTGATGGTAGACTAAGTTATGGTGTTTTAAAATGTTGAATCTGGTCTTTGGGGACATACAGCTTCCAAATTCTTGGTCATAGATTAACCTTGCAATTTATTCCATTTTTCTCCCCACAATCAGAATGTCTGTTTTTCCATCATTAATATTACATTTGGAGACTAGCACTTGTCTGAAAGAACCCATGGTTATTCCAGAGATATGACCATAATATTTAGCAGCTAGGAATTGAAATCCCTTTGATGTTTCTGGTATTACTAGGGTATGTGCTAAACTGTTTGGATCAGCCACTCCGGGTCCGATGTCCAACATCAGATGACATCTGTGAGGTGGGGTATTGGGAGGAAAAGGACTCTAATGACTGGATCCTAACTAGTCAAAAGGCCAGTTCAGTAAATGGATCTGTGTCTCCCTGGGGAGAGGTCTTTATTGCCTTCTTGCATCCAAGGTTCTGATGATAAAGTCAGGTGTTTGTCGAGGTCTCATTCTTGGTAGGTAATGCTTTTGGTCTCTGATAGGCTTTAGGAGTTTCTATCTTAGTGTTCAGCTATTCATTTGGTAAATATTCTCTATATTTTCTGTGTCCTTTTCTGTGTCCGTCTGTGTCTGTTTAACTGGAACTCCTAGTTAGGTAGATGCTGAATTTGTTCTCTGGGACTGAATTTTTATATTTTTCTGTTTCTTTATTCTGCATGCTGGGAGAATTTTGGAGTAGTCTTTCCTTTGTTTGTCAGCTGTTTTGCTATTCAGCCCTCCTATTTTTTTGTTTATTTGTTTGTTTAAACAATTATAATTTTTTAAAAGATTTTATTTATTTATTTGACAGACTGAGATGACAAGTAGGCAGAGAGGCAGGCAAAGAGAGGGGAGGAAGCAGGCTCCCGGCTGAGCAGAGAGCCTGACGCAGGGCTCGATCCCAGGACCCTGGGATCATGACCTGAGCCAAAGGCAGAGGCTTTAACCCACTGAGCCACCCAGGCACCCCACCACAATTATAATTTTTTAAAATAGTTTTTTAATAGATTTCCTTTTCGAGATTTCTCACTGTTTTTTAATAACCAACTGCTCTTATTTCATAATTGTCTGATCATATTTAATGGATGTAATAACTTTGCCTTATCTCTCTATGGATATTAATTACACTTAATGTATTTTAATTTTTTTCCAGCTTTATTGACCCACTATTGACCTATAACATTGTATAAATTTAAGGTGTACCACATGATACTTTATATAAATATATATTGCTAAATGATTACCACAGAAAGGTTAGAAACCACACCAGTGACCTCCCATAGTTACCTTCGTGTGCTTGTGGTGAAAACTTTGAAGATTTGCTCTCAGCAACTTTCAAGTATACATAATTATACTTATTTTAAAATTTTGGCTTTGAATGTTCTCTTAACTGATTCCTTTATGTAAATTCTTCTGTGTGTTCAGTTTTTGTCTCTCTTGGTTATTGATCTTCCTCCGTTCCTTGTGACTACTTGGGACCTCTCTCAGGAGGCGCAGAAGGGCTGCCAGGAATTGGCATGGGCAGCACCGTTTCCAGTGTGAGTCCAGGCTGGGGGGCCCTCGCAACTGCTCTGCGGGCACACTTAGCGATCCTGCCTGGCGACAGACACTCCATTCCTGGCGCCTGGGCTTTGGGAGATTTCAGGGGTCCACCTGCTCCTGCTGTGGTGTCCCAGCTACTCACTTGGATGGCTGCCTCCATGTTCCTCCCTGCTCTGGTTTCGTCGCCTCCAGACGGGGACTGTCGCTCTCCTCTTCTGTGGCAGTTGCCCTGCTTGCTCCCCCTCATGTCTCAGGGTGGTCTTTTCTCCTTCGGGGCTTCCTGCTTCCTCGCTGTCGCTGGTGCATAAGGCGTTCTTACTGTGCGCTGGCAGGGCTGAGCCGTGAGCATTTCCTGTTGTTTCTAGGGTTTGCTGTCACAGTGAGGCTGCGGCATTGGTTTGGTCCACGTACTTAGCCTGCAGGTCTGAAGTGGAGCCTTTAGGGATGTGGCTGTGGAGCTCTCACTCAACGTGTTTTGTTCAGTGTCTTTTCTTGGTGGTTTCAATAGAAAAGAGGCAGACAGGTTTAGTTGCCAAGATTTCTAGAAGGAGGGTAAATGGTACATGATGGGGAGGGCCCCACGAACAGGAGCAGGCAGGAACCCCAGCTTAGCCACAGAACCAGCACCGAGGCCAGGTTCCCCAGCTCTGGGCCGGCGGTCTGTCTTCTGTAGTGTTCTTTTGAGTTTAGTCTGCTGCCTCTCAGTTCTGGGTCAGTTCAGTTCTTGTTCCTGGTTCATTGAAAGACACATTCTTAGCTAGAAAAAATAACTAGAAACATTTCTCTTACTGGAGCCAGGGTGAAAATTCTGAGTGTTGAATCAGAAGACCTGGATTGTAGGGTCCTCTCCGCTGCCAACTCCACGTACGACCTTAGGCAAGTCTTCCTTCTCTGGGCTTCCATCTCCTGTGTATAGGCGGAAGTGGATTAGATCAGGGGTACAGGTCCCTAAATAAGCAAAGTGGGCTGCAGTGTCATGAGGGCGGGTGATGGCGGAAAGCAGCCCTGACTCTCCCTGTGTATTGGGAGGAAGGAGAGCAGTGGGAACTGTGTGGACCTGAGAAGCGGATGTCGCGCCTCAAGGGAGTAGCCACTGCTCAGCTCTAGCTAAATGTGACCTTGTCGGACTGTAGTTCTAATGTTACAAGACTTACTTTCTGGTGAGAAAAAAGATAATCTGTATTTTTTTAGTGTAAAATATCCTAATAGTAAACATTAGTAACAAAGTCAAGATTTTTTAAAATGCTGTAAGAGCCAAACCGTGTCTGCGGGCTGTGATTCACTAGTGTGTGGTGGTTTCTGTGTAGTCTTGGCAGTTTCTCGAGGCTCTAACAGTTCCATGTGTCTCTGTCGTCTGTTCTCAGATGAGCATGAGGGCTCCAGCTCCCATCTGGAATTCACTGTGTGTCTTGGGGGGGGGGGGGGGGGGGGGGGGGGGGGGGCGGGGGGGGGGGTGG